CCGCCTATGAGTGAGAATATGCGGTATTTCATTTTCTGTTCTTGTGTCAGTTTGCTGAGAATGATGTTCTCCAGATTCATCCATGTCCCTACAAATGACACGAACTCATCATTTCTGATTGCTGCATAATATTCCATGGTGTATATGTGCCACATTTTCCCAATCCAGTCTATCATCAATGGGCATTTGGGTTGGTTCGAGGTCTTTGCTATTGTAAACAGTGCTGCAATGAACATTCGTGTGCATGTGTCCTTATAGTAGAACGATTTATAGTCCTTTGGATATATACCCAGTAATGGGATTGCTGGGTCAAATGGAATTTCTATCTCTAAGGCCTTGAGGAATCGCCACACTGTCTTCCACAGTGGTTGAACTAATTTACACTCCCACCAACAGTGTAAAAGTGTTCCTTTTTCTCCACATCCTCTCCAGCATCTGTTGTCTTTAATGATCACCATTCTAACTGGCGTGAGATGGTATCTCAATGTGGTTTTGATTTGCATCTCTCTGATGACCAGTGATGATTGGTCATCATAGCATTTTTTCATATGATTGTTGGCCTCATATATGTCTTCTTTTGTAAAGTGTCTGTTCATATCCTCTGCCCACTTTTGAATGGGCTGGTTTGTTTTTTTCCAGTAAATCTGTTTGAGTTCTTTGTAAATTCTGGATATCAGCCCTTTGTCAGATGGGTAAACTGCAAAAATTTTTTCCCATTCTGTTGGTTGCTGATTAACTCTAGTGACTGTTTCTTTTGCCATGCAGAAGCTGTGGAGTTTGATTAGGTCCCAATTGTCTATTTTGGCTTTTGTTGCCAATGCTTTTGGTGTTTTGTTCATGAAGTCCTTGCCTACTCCTATGTCCTGGATGGTTTTGCCTAGATTTTCTTCTAGGGTTTTTATGGTGCCAGGTCTTATGTTTAAGTCTTTAATCCATCTGGAGTTAATTTTAGTGTAAGGTGTCAGGAAGGGGTCCAGTGTCTGCTTTCTGCACATGGCTAGCCAGTTTTCCCAACACCATTTATTAAACAGGGAATCCTTTCCCCATTGCTTGTTTTTGTCAGGTTTATCAAAGATTGTATGGTTGTAGATATGTTTTGTTGCCTCTGATGCCTCTGTTTTGTTCCATTGGTCTATATCTCTGTTTTGGTACCAGTACCATGCTGTTTTGATTACTGTAGCCTTGTAGTATAGTTTGAAATCCGGTAGTGTGATGTCCCCCGCTGTGTTCTTTGTGCTTAGAATTGACTTGGCTATGTGGGCTCTGTTTTGGTTCCATATGAAGTTCATGGTGGTTTTTTCCAGTTCTGTGAAGAAAGTCAATGGTAGCTTGATGGGGATAGCATTGATTCTGTAAATTACTTTGGAGAGTATAGCCATTTTCACAATATTGATTCTTCCTAACCATGAACATGGAATGTTTCTCCATCTGTTTGTGTCCTCTCTTATTTCGTTGAGCAGTGGTTTGTAGTTTTCCTTGAAGAAGTCCCTTACATTCCTTGTGAGTTGTATTCCTAGGTATTTTATTCTTTTTGTAGCAATTGTGAATGGCAGTTCATTCTTGATTTGGCTTTCTTTAAGTCTGTTATTGGTGTAGAGGAATGCTTGTGATTTTTGCACATTGATTTTATATCCCGAGACTTTGCTGAAGTTGCTTATCAGTTTCAGGAGTTTTTGGGCTGTCTCTTTCTTTTTTGAAACAGAGTTTTGCTCTTGTTGCCCAGTGTTGCCCAGGCTGGAGTGCAATGGCGTGATCTTGGCTCACCACAACCTCCACCTTTCAGGTTCAAGCAATTCTCCTGCTTTAGCCTCCTGAGTAGCTGGGATTACAGGCACCTGCCACCACACCCAGCTAAGTTTTTTGTATTTTTATTAGAGACAGGGTTTCTCCATGTTGGTCAGGCTGGTCTTGACTTCCCGACCTCAGGTGATCTACCCACCTTGGCCTCTAAAGTACTGGGATTACAGGCATAAGCCACCACACTGGCCTTTATTCTCTTTCTTGACTGCGAGCCTGTGACTTGGTCCTTCACCCAGCCTGGTAGTGCCTGAGGGTTTCCCCTTCTGGCCAGCCCCACAGCATGGGGCTGGTTATGCTGTCTGGGGAAGTGACTCCTCAGCTCCATAACCAGAGAGGCTGTGACTTCTTGGTCATTGCTGAATATACAGTGCCTAGGAGAATGGGCATATTCATATTTGTCGAATGAGTAAAGCTTTTGAGAATTGAACCGGAGTCTACAAAGGGCTCAGGTGCTGAGGACAGTGGGTGTGCAGGCACCTGTCACATGAACTTGAAAGAAGAAAGGAGCTGCACTGCTTTGCTGGGAAACTGTCAGGAGTTGATTTTGCTGGAAATAGATGCTCAGTGCTGCAAAGAAAAATTAGCACTGAGACAAAGGACCTTTCAGCAATGCAATTTTTACTTCCTGGACTGCAGGAAGGGGACCCTCACTAGCCATCATACCATGAGAGTACAATGAACAAAGGAAAACACACAAATTTATCCCTTACACATTTGAGGTTGTCCTTACTGCTGTGTCTGATCTCCATTGGTTGGAGCCGGACCTCACAATCTAAACTAAAACCCGATTGGCTAACAACTTAAAACATTTCTAAACAGGTAAAAGCAGTGGAGAGCTGGGGAATGCCTGTGAGCACGTCCAGCACAGATATCTTGGTTAAAGTACAAGGACACAGAATGTACTATGTGCCTGTAAGCATGGCATCTCTAACAGCTACATAGGATAGGGCTTAACAAAGAGTTATGGGCACACTTATTTTTTTAACAAGAAAGGAAACTTTAAAAAGGAACTTTTCTACTTCCCACATTAATGAAGCAAAATTATTCTCAAGGAGTGGCATGGATTGAGAGATACGGTGAGGGGTGGAGGGAGCACATGAGCGCCTTGTGCCTGGGGGGTGCGGGAGTGGGTGTAAGGGGGGGGATGAGGAGGGAATGTGGTGTGTGTGGGGGTGCATGCTGGTGAGGACTTGTGGACATTGTGCATGCATGTGTGAGCACGCCCACAGTGTAGTCATAGCGAGCACTGTGGGCATTAGAGAGAACACACTGCATGACCCATTTCTAGAAAATTCTAGGCAATGAAAACCGATCTACAGTGACAGACAGCAGAAGAGTGGATACTTAGGGATGGGGACAGAAGTGAGAGATTTCCAAAGGCCCAAGAAAACTTTTGGGGGTGACAGATGTGTTCATTATCTTGATGGTAGTGATGATTCTATGAGTATGCACGTGCATCACAACTCATCAAACTTTACACCTCAAATGTGTGAAATTGAGGACATGTCCATTATATTTCAATACAATTAAAAAAAGGAAAATGTGGTTTTAAAAAAAAGAGAACAAAGCTCCTGAAATCTGTGTTCTCACCTTGGCTTCCCTACTTCCTACCTGGGGTAAGTTAGTCAAGATCTCAGTGCCTCAGTTTCTTCATCTGCAAAACGGGAATAATACCTTGCTTATCTCTGAGAGTTGTGTCAATGAGGAAGACAGTAACTGAGACAAAAGTATGCAAAGTCCTCATCACAGTACCTGGCACATTTTCACTGCCCAGTGATTGGCACTGGCTATTACTATTGTTCCTGGACATGCCTGGGCATTTCTGCGTCTGTATCCATGCCAGTTTATGTATGTGTGAGTGCAGGGCATGAATTCCTGTATCTGCCTGTGTCTGTGAGGTGGGGGGTGGGGATTCGTTCCGGTTGTGGGCAGTGATTTCAGGCATGAATCTTTCTTTCTCCATCCACCACAACCTCCTCCTCCTCCTCCACCACCAGACCACATGGGTCTTTTTTTTTTTTTTTAACAGTTACTAAACTGCTACATTTACTGACTCATTCAGTCTTTTATCATATCCAATAACATAGTGCGTTTTGGAAATCACATCGCCTCGGTTCTTTCATGGCTTCTGCAAATCAAATTTATTTTACCATTGAAAATGTCAAAAGGATTCAGCCAAAGGAAACCTGGAGTTTTCTGGGGTGCAAGACCCTGAAGCTGGCTCTCAGGCTGCAGTGAAGGAGGCTAAAGTGCCTCTTTTCCATGTGGATTCAATTTATGTGAATTTCCTTAAAGGTGGGAGGGAGTCGGAGCTCCTTCTGGGAGAATAGAGCCTTCAGACCTCTCGGGAGCAGGCTCGAGTGGGAGGAGAGAATTAGTGGGGGCTGGAGAGTCAACATGGTATCAACAGTTTGCCCTGCCCTGAGCTGCTGGGAGCAGGGTAAGAGGAGCCTTGGAGTCCTGGCCCTCGGGGAGATCACTGATGAGTGGGACAGAGACCCAGGCTGGCCTGGAGCTCACGGAGCAACTTTCCAGGTCAGATCTGCACACACTGAACAATGATTTGAAAACAGTGTCCACAGGTTGGACTTTTAGACCTGACCGCTCTGGGGTTGAGTCTGCCGCTCACCAGCTGGGCAACCTTGGTTACGTGGCTTTACTTCTCTACGAGTTTCATGTAAAATGGAGATCAAGGAATCTCAGTGCATGGCCCCCACTTCCAGGTTTTCCATATTATTTGCTGAGTCTGAATTGGAATCTAGACTCAGCCAGGGGATTTGGGTATCTTTTTTGTTGTTTATTATTGACACATAATAATTGTACATGTCTGTGGGCTACAGTGTGATGTTCCTTTTCTTTTCCTTTTTTTTTTTTTTTTTTTTGAGGTGGAGTCTCACACTGTTGCCCAGGCTGGAGTGCAATGGCACGATCTTGGCTCACTGCAACCTCCGCCTCCTGGGTTCAAGTGATTCTCCTGCCTCAGCCTCCTGAGTAGCTGGGATTAAAGGCACACACCACCATGCCCGGCTGATTTTTTTGTATTTTTGGTAAAGACAGGGTTTCACTATGTTGGTCAGACTGGTCTTGAACTCCTGACCTTGTGATCCAACCACCTTGGCCTCCCAAAGTGCTGGGATTACACAGCACCCAGCCCAATGTTTCAATGTATACATTATATAATGACCAAAGCATGGTAGTTAAAAAATATATAGAATGCCTTACAAATTTTGTGTCATTCTTGAGCAGGGACCATGCTAATCTTCTCAGTATTCTTTCAATTTTAGTGTATATGCTGCTGAAGGAAGCGCTTTATGAAAGTGTCTTTATAAAAAAGATCATAGGTGTGCAAGGCCACATGTCTCAGGTGTCAGGGGTGTTGATTTTCCCGATTTCAGGGAAAAGAGATATCTGTTATACAGAAGCTAAAGCTCAAAATATCTTTATTGAGCACCTACTGTGTGCCAGGGCCTGTCCTGTCCCTGGGGATGTAAACCATAGATGAACTGAGCCCCTGACCTCTAGGAATCACTCCTGATTGGAACATGAGTGTGGTGAAACTTCTAGAACTCCAGGATCTGTGTTAGAAAGTGGGATAGCGCATGAGGCAGAAACACCTGGGTTCTGACAGAAGGGATCCTCCAGGAGGGCTTTCTGACCTGGGCCCTGGTGAATGAAAGACAGGTGCCTCCAGTAGTAAGCAATGGAGGCAGGGGTATAATTGGGACATAGGGTGGTAGGTTGGGAACAGGAGAGATGGGGCTGAGATGTCAATCAGAGCTGGCTCACAATGGTCCTGGAGTCAAACGAAGATGCGGGCTTTATCCTTGAAGGGTGCTTGTGTTTTGAGCAGGGTGTGTCTGGAGTCCACAGGACCACCTCCTTGTGCAATGATTGGCCAGGAGCACTTGAGGGACTCAGCATGTAGTCACACTCATGGCTACGATTCATCAGAGTAGAAGGATACAGAATATGGCCAGCAAATGGCAAAGGCTCCTGGGTGAAGTCTGGGGAAGACCAGGCACAGGTTTCCAAGGGTCCTCTCTCAGTGAAATCACATAGGTTGTGCTCAGTTGCCTCAGCCACAGGTTGGGACAACAGTGTGAAATGCTGTCTCTCAGAGAAGCTCATTAGAGACTCAGTGCCCAGATATTTTATTTGGAGGATGGTCACATAGACACCCTTGGTCTAATGCTCACTAAATTTTCAGACTCCCAAAGGAAAAGCAGGTGTTTAGCTTAAACCACATTGTTTCCACAAACATTTTAGGTGGAGTAAGCTGCTCACATCAGTTAGGATGGGAACCGTTCTGTTGTCTACATACCCCGATACCAGCCAAGAGCCAGCTTGCAACAGGGCTTTTTAAGAATGGCAGTGCCTCATGCCTGTAATCCTAGCACGTTGGGAGGCCGAGGCAGGTGGATTGCCTGAGCTGAGGAGTTCGAGACCAGCCTGGGTTATATGGTGAAACCCTGCCTCTACTAAAAATACAAAGAGAGCCAAGTGTGGTGGTACATGCCTGTAGTCCCAGCTACTTGGGAGGCTGAGTCAGGGGAATCGCTTGAACCTGGGAGGCAGAGGTTACAGTGAGCTGGATTGCACCACTGCACGCCAGCCAAGGGGATAGAGTGAGACTCTGCCTCAAAAAAAAAAAAAAACAAACCAATCAAAAAACAAACAATAAAACAATCGCAGCACCAACTCTGTTCTGCATACAGGGGCAGGCACTAACATGGTGTGCTTGTCTGGAAATCCATGTGAACAATGGATTGGCACTGGAGCCAGGACGAACTGGAGGCAGGGAGGCCAGTGGGGAAGCCTAGCAAGAGTCTTTCAGAAAGAAGATGAGGCCTGACCTAGGGCGGCTGTTTGTCAGGCTTTTGGTCGTGAGTCCCCATGTCAGAATGGCTCAGGAAGATAAAGGATTATTTAGTACATGGACTCAGGCACGTTGCAGAACTAACTCAAAGGCAAAAATCCCACAGAACCACTCAGGAGACCAGATTTGGCTTCTACACAGCTGTCAGAAAGGATGGGCTTCTCTTGGTTTTCTTTCCCTAGGACCACGAGGTTTCTCTTTCTGGTTTCCTCTGTGTATCCTCCGCAGTCCCCTTTCTCTAGAGATAGACTTTGTTTTTGACACAATGGCTGCCAGATAGAACAGCCTCATCCCTCTCACATTTACACGTTCTCTCTTCCTGTGAGCATCTGGGAATCACACCAGCATCTCTCAACTGTAATTACAATTCCTTGTGAGAATCTGATTGGTGTGCACTGGGTTAGGTGTCCTCTTCTTCCAAATTAGCTAAGGCTAGGGACTGAGAATCGCATAGTATTAGCATGGCTGTCCCATGAGCGGGGACAGGAGCTGAGAAAGAAAATGTTCTTATGGTCCCTGGATACCAGGTGGTGATCAATCATTTGAGTTAATCTGACACATCTGAGTTCAGTTAGGAAGATAAATAAAGAAGCTCAAAAATTGGGAGGCTGTGAATTTGACATCATATTTAGTAGGTAAATTTTAGAAAAACTTTCTTCTGCAAGGATCATAAAATCAATGGTAGTTATAACTTTGACGGTAGGTTCGGCTCTCCAGGGGAACACGTTCTGCTCCTTCTGTTCTGATTTCTGAGAATGAAGTGAGAGGTCAGGAATACATGAGCCATTTTCCTCACCCTTATATATAACACTTGGTAATGGGGATTTTACTGGGGACAGCGAGACAAAGAAGTTGGGTGGCTTTTGCAAGTTCACAGAGCATGTCCTTAGATTCACACTAAATCTCTCATTTGTTTTTTTCACAAACATTTAGAGTCCCTAATGGAAGAGTGTTGATCTTTGGGGCAGGTGCACAGAGATGAGCAAATGTATTCTCTACTTTGGAGAGTTTAATCTCGTTAAAGATACAAGTGTGAACGTTTGAGGTGATGGATATCCCATTATCCTGCTTTGATCATTATACATTGTGTGCAGGTATCAAAACATCACATATGTCCCCAAAATAGGTGCAACAATTATGTACAAAAAAAAAATTATATGAAAAAGACACAGATGTGTAAATGGTACATGATTAATGACATAACAGAGGAGAATCAGGGATTTTGAGTTTCAAGCCACATAAATGAACTTTGGGTAACTTATGCAAGAAAAGGAGGAATTCACTGGAAGTATATGGGGTGACTAATAGAATTAAAAATACACTGCAGCACCCAGCTTTGGAAAGCTCGGGAAAGTGAGTAGTCCCAAGATCCAGTGAGCAGGAGAGAATGGACGGTTTCTTCAGGGCTCCCAGTATCAGGAGAAAAATCACCCCAGTCATTTTCCATCTTGGATCACTTGCTGGCAATTTAAGGCCCTACAAGACAATCTGATGGGTCTAATGTGGACCATCACCTAGCTTTGTCAGGGCATCTTGGCTGATGGTACCACCAAGGCTATATCCATAGGAAAGGGAATAGCTCCCTACAGAAATGTGCATCCTGTAACCAGAACAAGGCAAGGAGCGATGGGACTGGTCAAGACTCATTGTTGGCTCCAGTATTGGTCATGTGCCATACTAGTTATTATTATTATTATTTTTTGAGATGAAGTTTTGCTCTTGTCACCCAGACTGGAGTGCAGTGGCTCAATCTTGGCTCACTGCAACTCCCACCTCCTGGGTTCAAGTGATTCTCCTACCTCAGTCTCCGACATAGTTGGGATTACAGGTGCCTGACACCACGCCTGGTTAATTTTTGTATTTTTAGTAGATATGGGGTTTCACTATGTTGGCCAGGCCGGTCTCAAACTCCTGAACTCAGGTGATCCACCCGCCTTAGCCTCCCAAAGTCCTGGGATTACAGGCATGAGCCACCACAGCACCTAGCCACTAGTCTAATTTTCTAGGTGGGCCTATGACCACCTAAAGGTTACATTTCCCTCTATTCCTTGCAAGTAGGCATGCCTGCACAACTGAGTCCTGGCCAGTATCATTGAAGTAGGGTATCATGTGGCAGTTTCCAAAAATTTTTCTTAAAAGAGAGCAGAATCCTTTGTCACCTCCTCTTCGATTCCTACCCACTCCATCCTGTGGCACTGGATATGCTCTGATGACTGAAGTTCCAGCCACCATCTTGTGCTAAGAGCCTGAGAACCACACCCCAGGGAGAATTGGAGAAAAAGCCAGAGTATCCTGGATTCCAGAAGATTCTATAGTTGCTTCTCAACCCTGGGCTTTTGTGTGGAGGGATAACTTCACTTCTATTCTGTTTAAGCCATGGTTGTTTCAGGGACCCTGTTACTTGCAGCTGAACCAAATCCTAAGAGATCCAGCAGGCACAACTATAGATGCCTGCAACAGGAAGTCGTTATAATGTGCTGCTGGAACCCAGAAGAGAATGTGACAAAATCTACCCGGAAAAGCTCAGGGAAGGCTTCATAGAGGAGGTGGCACTTGAGCAAGGTCTGTGAAGGAACTGAGCATTCCAGGCCGAGAGGGAAGGATGGCAGGTCCTGCTGATCCTCCCCTGCTCCCTTGAGACCTGGTGCATGAATCTGGGAGTCGCTCCCTTCTAGTTCTGTGTTGTGTTCTCACTATCTCCATGACTATAGAAACCACACTACAGGGTCCTATAGAAATCAAGCAATTTACCGAAAATAGAGGGATGTTTGGGCTCAGTGACACCTCAGTTCTTCTGGGAAAAAGCCAATTTCCGATTGCATTTTCACGAATCTGATAGAGTAGATGTCCCAGTGGGATTGAGCGTGTCCATGTGTTTGTGTATACACCCCTGTGCGTGTGTGTATGTGTGTGTGTATGTAATCATGGAGCACTCTGAAAGTGTACCTTCAGCATGATCTTTATTTGCCAAAACCCAGATCAATATTTACGTTACCACTTAATTTCTTTTAGGTGACAAGAAATTATATTCAATAGCTCTTTGGAAGTTTCTGGCACTAAGAGGCTATACCAGGGCTAGTCTCCATGACTAGCAGCTTCATTCCCTTGCCTTGGGACCCATGTAGCTGCTCAGAGAAGAGTCACAATGTATGTGAAAAAGTTGGGTGAGGCCGTGGGTATGCGGCTGGTCAGAGACCAGTCCATCTGCACTGGGAGGTAGTCATCTGGTCTCAAATCAGTTCTGTCCTTGTCCACTCCTTATGAATCCTTGGCTTGGTCTCCATCAGCCTCCTCCATGACTGTGACTAGGCAGGACCCAGTCTGAGAACCTTATAGTAACCACATTCCATGCCTTGGGCATATAAGCCAAGCCACTAGCAGATTCCTCTGAACATATCTCTAGAATGAAAAGAAAGGCTTAGGATGAAGGGA